GCTTGCCGCGCCTGCGCCGCCCCCCGCCCAGCTCGCCACCCCGCCCGACGCCCCGCTCCCCCCCCCACCCACACCCACACCCCCACCCACCCCTCACGCACCCACACTCACACACCCACACCCACACCGAAACCGACCATATCAGTGGGTTCCTAATATTCTAACCTGCCATGCTCGGCTTAAACTTTAGGATTGAAACCGTATTCTTGATTTGAGAATGTAGTCGTATACGGGTCACTTTTACGCACGAATATGATCATCAGGCTAACGAGGTGGTCAGTATAAAAATGAAAACCTACGGTGACGGCTGCTAGACGGACAATATCTGTTATCTTGAGCCTCAACTAGTTCATAAAATTTTTTGAATCGGCCATAACGATAGGTTTCCGCTCTTGAGGATGTGGGTGTGGGTGCGAGTCTGGATGTTGTATATGCGCTTGACCTATACTCATACCCACGCTACACACACACTCACATGCTGTAATACTTAAATATTCTATCATCAATTTAGTTGAATCATAATTCTACGGATTAAAATTGGCGAATTTTTCCATCACATTCGCCCATTGGCGAATATACTTAGACTAAAATAAATATTTTTTGACGAATTTCACAGTAGAGATTCACCAATAGACGAATGTCGTGGGAAAATTCGCCACTAGTGAGTGTACTGTTGACGAAATTCCGAATAGGCAAACTTACAGAGCCAGCTGAGTATATGACAAGACTGATGATGGAAAATCTTTTCCAACATGTGCATGGCTACAAAGCTAATCATAGAATCAATAGGGTGACAAAAAGCTACGGTGATGGTGACTAGATGGACACTGCTGGTTACTCTGAGCCTCGATGAATCTGCAAATGCTAGAAACCGTCTATCACCTCAGGTCTCCGCTCGAGTAACTGGCATTATGAGCCTACATGGAGACGATTAAAAGTATATAATTTACAGCGATGCATTATTGTATATGAAATTTTTTTCCCTAAATCAGTATGATAGCGATGCCAGTTTTAGGACCGGCATTGGCACAGGAACCTACGGTGATGATGGTTGTAAAGGCATTATTGAATACCCTGAGCATCAATGAGCTTGTCAAACGCTACAGACCGGTCATCGCCGTAGGTTCTCGCTCTCTAACCAGGATTTTTAACTTTCATCATGATATACAAAGCTATACATTTGAGTACACGACGAAATAGCATGTGAAAAGTTTTTACGGAGACTGTCTACGAAGTTAGTTTTACGACTCGTAGATTCACAAAATCATACAGTGATGATGACTAGATTGCCATTAATAGTTGCTCTGGTCTTCAACGAGTCTGTGAAATACTAGAAGCTGCTTGCTACTGTAGGTCTCCGCTCTCCAAACCAACATGGTTAGGATTAATGGTAATGCTTAAAGACATGTAATTTAGATCTGCTCACTACAGTAGATGAAAATTTTCTTCATTGATGAATGTGATAGTCATACCGGTTATGGGATCGATAGAGCCAAGAAAACCTCCGGTGATGGACATTAAAAGCGTACTGCTGGTTATCCTAAATGAGTCGGTAGAATGTTATAAACCGGCGATCACCGTAGGTTCCCGACATTCTAACAGCTATTGTTGACCTTAAAGTGCTTGTTGACGCGGCATACCTAATTTTTTTGTATAAGCATCTTTCATACTCAGATAGCCTCGCACTAACAAATATCAGCTGAATGAGCATCCTAATGTTGTCTGACGTACGCCTACGGCCAGCATCATATTGAAGGAGCGATCAGTATATAGAAATATTTTATTAAATTTGTGAAGTATGATCATAAATCATAGAAAGTAGAGGGATACCAAATATATGTGCATTTCTCGATTATGAGATGGCCAGCTTCATCTTTAATAAGACTCAGTTGAGCTTGAGTAGCTTTATCTGCAGTACATTGTGACCGATGCTTACGGTGTTCGTATACCGGTGGAGCGGTGGAGCGGTGAACGGTAGACCGGTGGCACCGGTCCTACGGTGAATCGGCGGACCGGTGAGACCGGTGAACGGTGAACCGTAGACCGATCACACCGGTGACCACCGTCACCGTTGCAACACCTAACCCACATCCACACTCACATCCTCAAGAAAACTCTTAGAAAAAAAAACAACTCATCTGTAACAATTACCGATTGTGAATCACAACAGGGAATCAGTTCCAAATGGATGTTGCGAAATCTAGCAAACTTTATTCAACTTTCGACAGCAAAGAATAGTTAAAAATAGCAATTTCTTATTCGGCTACTTTTGACATATCAGTTTATGGTCGTATGATTTCCAGTCTATTGTTTGACACTCTTTTGAGCAGTAACGTGCTCGCTTACATCGACTACAAACGTGCAATGCATTTGGTTGACCACAACATCGGCACATGTTCACCATACGTTCTGATTCATTTTGAAATACAATTGATGAAAAGTCATCGACACGAATGAATGGTTTTAAATCGTATGAACCTATTCGTAAATATGGATTTATAATATGCATTCTAGTTCCAATCGTAAATACATTATTGATTAAATGTTCACCTTGTTGTTCATTAAAACCATAGACAACCATATGCTCGCAATCATGATTTTCATCTTGAATAATAAGATGAATAGATGGTTTCCACGTAAGAGCTTCGTCAATAATCGTTACAAAAAGAATATATTGATTATAAACATGATCTTTTGTTGGATTTATTTCTCGTAATGAAATCGATTTCAAACCAACGAGTGACTTGGCTGTTGACTGTTTAACACGAGGTTTTTGAGTCATAGTATGATTCACAGGAGAGTTTTTGTTTTTTGACATTAATCCTGACCATTGACGATGTCTCTTGAAAATGTCGATGCGGTGAGGATCGGTAAGACGTGATCGACAATCAGAAACAAGAACTGGTATCGCATCTGATAACTGTTCATCATCAAATGCATGTTGAAGAGCCATTTTTTTATCCGATTTATAAGGCAAAAAGCATGGTAATTGTATTTTTTCTGCTTCCTCACCCTGCTGATATAATTTCTTAATTAAACGTTTCGTATTATCATCTTCGGTACATGCTAAATAGCAGCCAGCCATTGAATAGTATGATTCAGGTACTCTGCAATGATCTTTTGGTGCAACAGCTAGAAATTCTTGATATGCTTCGATGACTTCATTCATTTTTTTCCCCAGGCACACGAACAGAGTAGCTTTGATGAATAAAAGTTCGTAATAATTTGGATCTATTTTCAAACCAACGTGGGCATCATTTAAAGCATCTCCAAAGCGTCCTAATAGAACGTTCATAGCAGCATGAAACTCGTGAAAAAGGAGCGATTTCGGATAATTTTGTTTGCATGAATCGAGAAATCGAAGATTTAATTCGGGTTCATCCATATGTAAGACAACATAACACATTCGAACATCTTCATCTAACTGTGAATTAACAATATTTGAATCATAACCGCAACGTTCAAATACTCGATCAATGATACGTATAATTCTTTTTTCGATTTCTATACTTGGAATTTCAGCAACAGTATGTTCGATGCGACAGCATTGCGCAAATTCGTGTATGAATAAAGTTTCTTGTTCATTCGATAATGATTCGGATTGCATTAGGATATTTAATGCGACATAAAAATGTCGTAGAGCATTGGATAGTTTTTCAGCTGTCCATGAACCGCGTTTCGCATGTTCATTGAGTATGTTGAGATCATAGATGCTTGATTTATGGGAAAGGCTATCCATCAGCTTAATTGCTTTGATGAAATCAGAAAAACTGTTTACTTCTTTCATAGTTTGTGAAAAATTTTGCGAAGAGTTTTCATTTGTTTGCTGTTTTTGACGTAGACGTGATTCAAATTCATTTCGTTGTGCTTGAGCATAAAGATTACCTGCTTCACATGCACGATCAAACCAAGTTCTGGCCATTTCAAGTTCGTTTATTTCCAATAAAACATCGGCTAAATTCATCATAGCTTTTGGATCACCTCGTCTTGCAGATAATTCAAATAATTGTTTGGCTTTTTCAAGATTCTTTTCAATACCAGTACCATTGAGATACATTATAGCTAAATTATTGGCCGCTTCAGCACTACCATGATCAGCAGCACGTTGATACCATTGAGCAGCTATCGAAAAATTCTTTGGAACTAAAACACCTTCCATATAGCGAAGTCCTAGAGAATGTTCGGCTTCGGCTACGCCAATATTCGGGATACCTTTGAACTTCGAATGTTCTGGCGATTGTGCAGCTGCTTGTTCGAGTAGTTTAGTAGCTAATTGAGGATCTTTTCTTACGCCCAAACCACGATCAGTCAATCGAGCTAAATTGTACAAACCTTCGGCATTACCTTGATTGGCTGCTTTAGCAAAGTATTTAGCAGCCTGTTCGTAGTCTTGTTTAATATCAATGTCGCCATGTTCGTACTTATGTCCTGCGACAACATCGGCTGCGGTGGGATCCACTTGTTTAAGTAAATTGTGTGCGGAACGGATTTGATGTGAATCAATACCATATTTCTGCTTCATTTCATTTAAATGTTCGTGCATTGTGACCGGTTGTCCTCTTGGATCAAGATGATCATGTCGAGCTTGTTGACATTGTATTTGTCGACTATCAGTAAGGGCTTCTTGTATTTTTATATTATTTGGATCGAGAGCTAATGCTCTTTCATATGAATTAATTGCTTTTTCGTGTTCATTTAAAGCTGAATAAGCTTTGCCGACACGATAATGCCCTTGCCATGATGTCGATGAAAGCATTCGAGCTTGTTTAGCATCACGCAGCGCATGATATCTTTGATCTGTCGGATTGCCATTGTATACATGTGACAAATTAACTCGTTGATCATATAATGCTAGACGACTAGCTGACATGTTCGAATAGACAATGGCACGATAATGATTTGAAACATCTTTTATGTCGACTGCTTTTGTAAATAATGCGATAGCATCAAAGAATTTTTCTTCTTTATGAGCTTGTGTTCCTAAAGAGTTTAAACGCAATATTTCGCGTACATTTGCTTCGTTTATCGATTGCATAGGCTGTTCAAATATACTTTCACTTTTGAGTGTATCTAGTACTTCTTGAACTTCACCAAATGCAACAAGAATTACTACTAATTTCGACCAGAGCTGATGAAACTCGTTGTTATCAATACTTTTTGAAGGATGATGAGCTAGTATATTACGAGTTTCTCGCAATTCAATTAATAATTGATCTTCATTGTTGAGCTGTTGTATTTGAGTTTTGTTAAGCTTTTTCGGACGTTCAGTATTCAATAAAAGAGTCGTTAATGTTGTTATATCGAATTGATTCGAATCGCCATCATGAATTAATGTTCTCTGAACTGCTGTTAAATTAAACTTTTTACTTTTTCCAATAATATTAACCAAATAATTGCTTCCACATTGCGATGAATCGTCCCATGTTTGACCGCCAGTAAATAGACTATAGCGATTTTTAAACACTTGGCGAAGTATGCTACATGAGCGACCTAGTAAAAGATCTAATTTAAAATAATTTCGAACATCAGGCGGTATACAGGCCATGATAATAAAAGTATTGCTGAAACAAAAAATTCTAGCTTCTTTAGTATTCAGCCAAAACGCAGGTAACGCACAGACGTTTTTAAAACTTCGAACGAATTTATCTAGAGAATGGTAAGTGGGAAAAACATGTAATTGGTAACAAATATGTAAGTAAATAAATTCTATAATACTTAAAAGTTTGAGCCTCAACCGTGTAGCCGCTTAGATTTTATGAGTGAAATACTAGTCGGTAACACACAGATAAAAAAGGCCCTCCGTTTTCGGTATATGTGAAAGAACTGATAAGTTCTGCGTACTACTCCATGTTAATGAATTTTGTGAGAGAGAGTTTTGTAGCTGAAAGTCAGAGCTATCTTTTGGTGAAGACAAAAGATGGATACCTTGAAAAATGAGCGACCTATTAAAAAAACATGAAGTAACGCACAGACATAAATTTTCAAGAACAAAAACCGAGGTCTCAAATTTTATCTCGTATTTGGCAGTATCGGTTTAGAATATCAAAATAACGATGTTCACTTGTATGTCAAGCTGCTACTACTGTATTTTATGCTTAATAATGTTTCCATTTTTGAAATATGATAAGAG